GGCATCAACGTATTATTGCTGTGAACAGTAAATGATAGTATTTTAAACTAGTTGAACTGAAAAACTCTGTCACCTTTTGGAATCTTTTCCTTCGGCTTCTACACATATATGTAATTCTGCCTAAGCTGTAAGCAAATCTGCATGTTTTGCTGCTCCAGCTTGGTACAATCTCTTCTGTTTGCCTTGCTCTTTTACCCTTTCATCTTCTATGGGTTCTTTTCTTTCCTATTTGTTGCATTTATTGTTCTTTATTTAATCCTTACCTGCTTAGATAATCATCTGACCTAGTTTTATGATATGGATTAAAGTAAATCCTATAATATAAGTATTCTCTTTTCTCTATTCTCTATCATCTGTATTCTGCTGAGATTGTGGTTTCTGGGGCTGGCTTTCATTAAGGGGGCTTCCGTGTCTCAGACTCACTCCCTAAGTGACTGGGATCATGCAGTAAGCAGCTTTGTTCTCCAAGTGTTCAAGTACCCATTATCTCATTGCCTCAAAAGCAGCCTCAATTCTTCACCTCTGAAGATAACTTTGTCTCTAATTATTCAGTCAGAAACTCCCACTCCAAAAAAGAAAAGCACGGTGGTGGTAGTGATGACTATATTCTAACCTTATGTCACAATTTCCTGGTTAGTAGATAGTTCTCTGTTTTTACAGTGTTAAGTCACTTGGGGTAAATAACTGCTTTGGATGGGCATGTAGCAATCTCTTAACATTCTTGTGTTAAGAAGCCAGTCAAGATTTGTGCTAGCACTGTAAATTTATCTGCAGTTTAGCAAGATCGGCAACGTGTAGACTATTGAAAACATTAATAAATGCAAGCAAATGTGAACATCAAGGAGAAGAATTGAGACTTCCTTCCCTTTTTCACTCTGTGCTAAAGGAAATAACATAGAACTGTGCAAATGTCCCAGCCCTAGACTATACAATGACTGAGAATCAGTCTTTTATCTGTGTTTTTTTTTTTTTTCCCTGAAGCTCACATCTTACTTTTTGCTTAACAGTTGACCAAGCGCTTTGCGGGATATTGGTTGCTCAGTGCTGTGGCTGATTTTCATGCCTTGTCTTGCCCCAAGACTTGCTCACTGACCTGTACATTCCTTTATAAGAATGCATCCAGATTTCTTCTCTCATTTTCACACTTCCTTAGTTTTTCCTTTTGGGTGATAATGGCTCTTATAATTGCTAAGATGTGACATACAATCTGAGAGGCCTGTCCCAGTGCGAAAGTTAATATATGTCACATGCTCAGGTATTAATTTTTATTTCTGCTATGTAAGGACATGGTAGAGGAGTGTAACTACTCCTAATTATTGTAGGATTTAAACAAAACTTTCTGGAAGACAATGAGCAAATTTTGCTTTATTTCAGTTGGTGTTAGTAATTCTTCTTGTTTGGGGAGTGGTTCTGTAACTTCAGTCATAACTTGTTGCTTCTTTAATTCAGAACCTGGTACCAATCCATTGCTGTGCCTTCTTGCCATTCAAAAGGGACATTTGTAGCATAGTATGGGGGATGTGGCTGTACTTTATATGCACAGCACTAAAAATTTGCCTCAAATGTATTCTATATACATGTCCTTTCCTCTTGGACCCTCAGAATTGCATGGTGTGTGCCTGAGTTGCCTGAACACTTGAGCTTTTCTGGTGCTGGCTGTTCCCCGTGACATCCGGAAAACATTTTACTCTGTTGCTTTTAATTGTCTGCCTATAGAAGTTAGTGAATAGAGCGTGTATACAGATGCACTGTCACACGCAGTACAGTTCTGTAACACAAAGTATGCTACTGTACTATAGGGCATGTGGCAGGCACAAAACCTATAAATGTAACATTTCTTCACTGTATACATCTCCATATAGGAAAAGAGGAAGACTGGGCAGCAACTCTCACTCAAACAACCTTGTGAAGATAAAAAAAACCCCTCAACACTATTAGTTTCTACCTGGAGTCATATGTTTTACTTAAATACACAATAATAAAATAAACAATGCATGTCTATAATAATCAATTCCAGTGTAAACAATGCAAATGAAAGTCTGCAAAGTGTAAACATCCAACAATCAGTCCAGGTCTCCGGACTTTTCTCCTGGTGCCACGCTGCTTCATGGCTGCAAGCAGAATACTGTGGGATAAATCCAGGCTGCTCACTGCCTGATGGTGCCCAGGAGTTATCACCTGGTGCAAGGTCCACAGCTGAGGGCAGTGGCAGGCAGGCAATTCCAGCTTTTATCGCCAGGTGAGAGTTTTCTGATGCTTGTGGATCAGAGTCCCAAGGGCTCCCAGTCTTTGTAGAACTAGTAAAGGACCGGTGTATTAGCCCTCTTGCTTACAGACTTTTTATTTCCATACGTATTTTAGATGTTCTGAGTCAAAATTAATCCCATGAATAATGTAGTTAACGTCAATGACCTATCCTGCATCTGTGTTGTCCTTCTCCAGATATTTTATTAACCAAAAAAGATACTGGAGGATACCAGGTGATCTCAGTCTTGTGGTTGAAAAAGAATACCTTTTCTGGGAAGCCTAATTTCCCGTCAAAAGGAGCTTAGCTACCCAGTATTTTCCTGTTACAGTGTTCTCATCTGAATGCCTTTATTAGAAAAGAAATTTACTTGAATTAGCATGCGTGGTCCCAGTGTTACTGTAATCACCTTTTTCATTTCAGAAAGGATATTTTCATTTATGCTTAAAGAAATTTATTGATACCTAACCAGTTCTACTGATGCTAGAAAAGTCCCCCATCTAAAATACATGTCTAAATACTCGTAGCATTTTTGCTTAAACAAATATTTTTTCACAGTCAGGCAACACTTAATCTAACCAACATTTACTCAGATCAATATATTTTAATTGAAATTAATGGCAGATAACTTAAAGTTTTTTCACTGAACTAAGTACATTAAATCAATACATTGCTAAAAAATTGCTATATATTGTATAAAAGGTATTTTTTATTCTTAGCTGAATTCATTTTATTGAAACCCATGCACATGAATGGTAGCCAGATATTTAGATACTGATATTTAGATACTGCTGATGCTGATGGCATCAGTACCTTTAGAAATTACTAAACAAACTTATGCAAACAAGATGAACAATATTAAAAGCTATTTGCAGGATATGATTTTATTCCTTCTTTCTTCTAAAAAATATTCATCTGATTGTGGGTAGAGTATGTAGAGAAGTAATTTAGTCCCAGACTCTTCCCAGCTGACATCAGAAACTCAAGAAAGGCACCTCCACCTTTCTCATGGTGCAACCAATCAGCAGTTGGAGGTGATTCTTTACATCAATTTTCTTGGATTAGCACAGACTTTTCAACAAAGATTTTATGTTCATTGGAACCAGTCAATAGTGGCTGTTTTTGAAAAGTTTGTCAAAGTAAGAGAAATCAAACACCTTGATGTTGGAGGAAATCAGTACACATCTCATCCACTCAGGGTCTTGTAGATGGAGTACTTTCCCAAATCTTGCTTTCTTTGATTATAAGATTTTGGGCCAGGTACTGTCTCTGGCTATACACACATCACAATAGAGCCTGAGTTACAGCTATTGGAATGGCAAGGGATTGCAAAGATGGACTTGGAAGAACCATTGGCTTAGGTGAGAAACCAGTGGCATTTACCTATCTGGTACTTAAATGTTTTTAGCAAGAAATACACAAGAGCTTAAATACCATTATATGGTATATACGATACATATATATACACTACAGAACAAAGACAACTGGAGGGGCGGAGGTTGACACAGTCATCTGTTTTAGTGTTCAGTTACAACTACAGCACAGTGAGAATGCTCATTGCATGTCCATGTTTAGTTTATGAATTTGTATATGTAATTATCATTTATTGAAATGCATTGTATCTGTGGTGCTTTCCTCTGTGTTTCTGATAGAGATATTTTTCACATTGCTTGTATTAATTAATATAAGTAATTAATTAATATAATACACAGAAATGTGAAAGATTACCATAATCTATACAACCAAGTATATCACAACATTACAAAAATAGCAGTCTGTAACCATCAGTTCTGCAAACAGACCTAGGAGAGTTCCTGGGCTTGGATGGAGCTCTGACGGCTTCACTGAGATTTGTACAGTGTAGGGGCCATCCACACTTACAAAATGACATCATGCAATGCCTATCTTCTTCTAGTATATCATCTATTGGAAAAGGCTTTTAAAAACCAGTTTAAGATGAAGAAACTTCCAGTTTAAGATGAAGAAACTTCTGCAGCTGTCCCAGTAACTTCTCAAAACTCTTCCCTAATGTTTTTCACAGGACTGAAAGCTGGAAATAGGCTGAAGCCACTGAAACAATGTAATTTCTTTAGAAAGAACACCATCTTGCTTGGAATCTATGAAGAAAATATTTCTTCCTTTTCTTCCACTTAGCTCCCCAGTATCCAGCTGAAAGCCATGAGCTAAGCACTGAGGAAAGGGTTTATCCTATAAGAAGAAACTCAATGATGGTTTAGACAACATGAAGCTTTGCTTTTATATTAAAAACAACAACAACAACAAACAAACTTCTTAAAAAGTGCTTTTTCAAGTTCTGAAATGGTTGCCAGGATTTCCTGTCCCATGAGAAGTTAAGATGGCAGCCACATGACATATGGGCAGGATTTTATGCATCCTGCAAGAGGTTAGAGAGTCTGTCTCACTTTCAAAGAGATGACACTGTATTTATAAGATGGCCTGTACCAAGGGAGAATTGAACAGAAATTTGCAGCGTTTACATTCTATAATAGTTTGCTTTAATTAAAATTAGACACATTCCTCAGCAGAACTTCAGATCAGAATATCTTGTCTTCAAACTTTGGGGAAAATCAGATATCGCAGTGTTTCATTTTAAGCAATTAAAAAGAATATTAAAGCAAAACCAAACAAAACAGAACAATAATTTGACTGGACAAAAAACTTGTGGAGCTATAGACTCAAATTTCACAGAATCATAGAATGGCTTGGGTTGGAAGGGACCTCAAGGGTCAACAAGCTCCAACCTGCCCTGCTGCAGGCAAGGCCACCAACCTCCATATCTAATACTAGACTACCTTGAAAACAAAGTGAAACTTACTATTCAATTCTTTAGGTACCTGTTTCCCATGATTTATGATTCCCATAGATCAAGATCTGAAAATTTAGATCATACTGTTGAAGTCAAGAGCAAAAGATAAACAGCACTGACATTTCAGAGCACAATCCTGTCAAAGCTTGATTATCCTTGTTAAGGAAACTTCTGGAATGGAAGAACAAACAAAAGTATGACTTTGAGGAACATGATGCTTCTGTTGATTTTTCTGAGAAGTATGTTTGATATCTCAAATCATTTAAAGAGATCTGAAACTTTATTTACTGGAGAATGAAAGAAAACACCTTTCCCTGATTTCTTAGGATATCATACTTGCAGATTTCATCTGGTTGTGGATGGCTTATTCTCTGCATAGCTGTGGCCAACAGTGCATCAAATCTGAGAAAATACATCTTCTCATTCAAATTCTCTGGGAATGAGATTCTTTGATTCTGTGAGATGAAGGTCTCTGAGCCAGGAGAAAGGGCAGGATTTGCAATCCAGCCTTTCCTGGTGACATCATTATTTAATGAGACCCTAAACCATATCCTTTAAACAAGTAGCAAAATTCATTTAGCAAACACATTCCTTCACCATTTAACAGTCAAGTGCTATTACCTATTTAACGACTAAGTTAATTGTGATGTTGTACACAGCACAATCCCTTTGTATGTTCAATTAATTCCTCACAACTGGCGCAGGCTTGATGTCCTTCAGATACTTGCTCAGAGGTTTGAAAAGGTAGAGTATATTTAACAGGAAGACGTAAAGGAGAAAGAGATTATTAGTCTTTTTCTTGCTAGACATTTGTAAAATAGCCTTTATCCTGGACGACTTCTTACCTTGGATTGTATAGGATATCCTGTCTGTCTGAGCAAGTGGGTATCATCTCATTCTTGCACATGCATTCTGCAAGTACTTGTAGCAGTTAATTACAGCTACATCATGTGAATTTTTGTTCAAAGCCTGGCGATATAAAACACAATTACAAAGTTTATTAATTGCTAATGGATTAGGACTACTTTGGCTCATTTGATTTTGTGGAATTGTAGAAACCTTTTCATTTTAAAACAGTCTGTAAGATACAAACTCACAATCTTGCATATAACTTACACTGCCTTGTTATTTAGTCCAAAACAAGTTGAGGAAAAAAAAAAAAAAAAAAAAAAAAGACAAGCCTTGCCAACAGAGAACATCAGCACTTTTTAATTATGCTCTTTGTGGTAAAAGGCGGACCGGTGAGATGACCTACAGGAGGAAGTCAGCACTTTTTGAGTGAGTACCAGCATATTTTTACATTTACTTCCTTCAGCCTTCTCTTTCAAATGGATCAAGTTCCCTTTCTTTGGATCTTTAGCTTTGTCCATTAGTACATCCCCAAAGAGTATTCTGTCAAGCAAAGAAAAACACTGGAAGAAGATTTTAAGATCTTTTGAGAGTTATAGCCAATGCTTTGTTTATGTATAGTGATTATTTACTAAGTTAGCACTCCCAAAAGGCAAATCTGGGTAGATACCAGAAAAACACTTTAGATAATTGCTACTTGGTTTGATCTCCTGGTATTTTGTGGTATTTTACACTGTTTTAATAGCATCACCTGAGATTCTTTGGGTACAAAAAAATGTTTTAAACTGTGGTCCCTAATAAATGGTAAGGGAATGATTTTCAAATCCCTACAGTAAGAAGTTCTGCTGTTATTCTTGCGAACATAATAATAAATGCCTTTACAACTCTTACAACCATAAGAAACCTTAGAAAAAGAGAACATGATTGTAGAAAGCATAAGTCCTACAATGAAGAAGTGTTTCCATTTACTGTCTTTCCCAAATACTATGGAAATCAAAGGGTGGATTGCCATCTGATGCTTAGAAATTGTTTTTGTTCTCAGATGTTTGCTAAAAATTGCTTCTCTGTAAATAACATTACCTTTAAGGACACCACGAACACTTCGTTAATCTCCTCTGCTGCATATTTGAAGGACATGTTTAAAAAGATATTTTGGGTAAAACACTTTTCCTTTTTTTCATGAGTTTATATGATGCCGATGAAGATAAAATCGCAGCAAAAAAAAAAAAAAAAGTCCAATATTTAGTAACTAACAAACTTGAATTATGAACTGATAAATATTGAACCAAGAAAATGTCAGCAGCCAAAACTTCAATAATTAAAAAATGTATAATGTTCATCTGTCCACGACATGAACAATACTGTCGATCTCTGACAGATTCAGGAAAGCTGAAGAGTGTTTTGAGATCTGATGGCCAAGACAGACTCTTCTGAGGTGTTTTTAATAAGAAAAATGTAGGGATATCACATCAGACTAGTTAGACACCAAACTGATGCTATCAGTGGTTTTTTGTTACTCCATATTCTACACGCCTCTTTTGGAACAAGTACTGACCACATAGCTTGCTATAATTGAGAAATTGTTTCCATTTGATATATTTTCCCTGCTGTTTCAATGGTGACATTGACATAAAAGAGACAGAGATAATAATACAAAAACTGTATTGCTCTCAAAAATATCCTTTGCTGTCTAAATCCATTGTATTGCTTAGGAGATACTTAGTTAATTATTAAAACAATATCTAAAAATAATCAAATTCCAGAAAACTGGCCAGCCAGATTCTTCTCTTAGTCATCCCCAGTCAGCACCACAATGTACTGTAATAGATGAAAGTGGATTATGGAAAGCAGTGTAAACTTATGACTTATCGTAGTAATAATTTATGTGTGGGTTGTAGGAAATAGACTTAACTGCTTTACAAATAACCATTACATTCCTTACCTTTTCTTTTCCTTGTCCTTTATTTGTGAGCTCCAAGCACAGCATTTGCAATAGGAACACCCGGGTACCCTTGCAAGATCTCTTTCATCTCTTGCTGTAGATAGGATCTGGCAAAGAAGGAGAACTACATTATTTTTATACAAAGACAACTGTCACATTATTTCCCTAGTGGCCAATCATCCTGCAGGGGACAACTTCATCTATATTGTACCTGCTTTACATACTTCATTAACTCTGTCAACTACCAGCTACTTCAGTACCTTTTCTGTTGACAGTACACCATTTATTGTTTCTAACTTCCAAGCAGTAACATCTTAAGACCCCTCTTTGTAATATATCTGTGTAAATAGCAGGACTTTTAGTTTAATGCAGAGAGCTTGAGACAGGGGGATTTCAGGTGGCTGCAATGGCCAGCAGATAGTTGGGATTGGATAAGGAACTGAAATTTGGAGCTGGAGATAAGGTGCCATTAAGGCGGGGACTCTAAACTCAAATATGCTATAGGGAAAAGGGAACTGTGAGTTCCAGGGAAACAGGTGTGAGGAGGCTCCAGAAATAGGAGGCATTTAGGTGATGTACCACTAATCATTGTACACAATTTTCTGCCGCAATATTAAGCTATAGTTGTATTAACTGGCATGAGTGAATAAGCCTGTATCATAGGAGTAAGCAAGATGGGGGACAGCGGTGGGTGAAAAGGGAAAAGGGTTCCACTCAGCATCAGAGCACAATTCCCACAGTTACTGTGGGAAAAGAACAGATTTAGAGGACTGCTCCCTACTTCCCTCCTTGATCCTTTTTTTTTTTTTTCTTTTTTTCTTTTTTTCTTTTTTTTTTTCTGCCTGGAGTATTACAGGCTTCTTCAAAGGAGACTTTTGAAACTAAGAAAACCTGTATTTTCACAGAAAAAAAATCAAACAGTAAATGACCTAATGCCTGTTACAAAGACACCTGATTAAAGCAAATTCAACGTACAGTTTAGAATAGACTAGCATCAAACGGTCTGAAAGGGAACAGATGAACCAAGAAAATTGAAAGTCAATGGAAATCATAAATACCTCCTGATTACGTGGATTTTTCCCAGTCACTTTTGAAAAGTAACAAGGAACATCTGATCTTTCTGCTCCTGCTCTAATTAGGTTGAAAGGTGAATTCTTCAAAAGAGGGAGGCACTGCTTGTGGTTACCTGCTGCCGCTGAAGAGTCTGTTGTGAAGTTGCAAGTTTTTGCACACTTCAACTTTCCAAATAAATGTTTCCTCCAATTTGAATATTTCACTGCTTTGGTTTTCTTCATGACTGTTTCCTTTTTTTGCTATCCAAATCAGTGTGTTTTCTCCAAGTGGAGATGCTGCCTAATTCTGTAGGTATTTGATCAGGGCAGTTTCTCTCATCAGTCAGAGAGCAAATGACATTATCTGTAACCTCTAACCATCCTATGGCATTGTAAAATATGAAGTTTCAGGACATGAATTAGCCGTCAAATACCATAGATGCATATTTTAAAAAAGCATGTACCTATTGTCATATGCTACATTTGTACTTTTATTATTATCATTCAGTGTACCCTTGGGGACATCACAGCATTCCAAATTGAGAAATAATGTGAATACAGTCTAAACACAGGAGAATGAAATGTCTCCATAGCAAGGATTGTCTCTGCAACAAATATGCATTTTTGAACACATCCTTACTTTAAAATACTGCTGTCTGGACTAAGGTTCCTTTTAGTATTAGTATGACAGTTATTTAAAGAAAACTCTATTGCCACAAAAATAAAAGCTCGTGATACTCTGATTTACCTATCCATTGAAATTTTTTTTTAATTAGTCCAGGGAGCTTAGGGAGTTGCAATACACAGTGAACTATCTCCTCTTCTGAAAAAGATGTTTGTTCAATAGCCAGATGTAGTATTCCTTTTTTTTTTTCCCTTACATAAAAATGAATGCCGTGCAAACACTGACTGACTCCTTTTTAATCTGTCAGCACATTCCTTACATCTGTGCATAAATATTATTATCACAAACTCAGAGTGTTACTGCAAAAATTATCAGAATCCTCAAAATGTACTCTATGCAGCTTCCATTGGAATACAACTTCAATGCATTAATAGGAAAACAAGCAAGCTTTAGGAGTTAAAAATAGACGTTTCATTTTCACAGATGATTATCCAGGGTTTCCTTTTCTGTCGTAGATATGCACAGGGCAATATTTTGTATTTAGTACAGTATTGTTTTCTAACGTGTCATTAGCCTTGATATTATTTCCGATTACATTCATTTAAAATATTAACTACTTTCAGACTTAGACTGAGGGAGAATGATACAGGATATATCATATTTTCAGAGATTTTTAAAGAATCCCTTGTGAGAATGGAACCTCTAGTTAAGCATTTGTTTGCCTGTTTGCTGGAAAAAACACAATCATCCTTTCCATGTTTATAGGGATGACCTTTTATGCTATAATACAATGCTTTGAAGCACAGTTATTTTTAATTGCTTTATATGCCTACTGAGACCATTCTACATGTCACTCTGTTGTATACGACACTGAGTCACGTATGTTTTGTCAATGAATCTTTTGGTGTTGGTGTTTATGTTAAAATCTAATCAGGAGCTGAGGAAATGTATTTTGGGTTTTGCTGTAGCTATTATTTTTTTGTTGTTGTTCTTGCTTTGTTTTTTATTTATTTATTTATTACTGTCATTCTAGCTGTACTCCAAATGAGGTGACAGAAAGAATTAAAAGTGACAGATTGTTTTGGCTGCAGCTGGGCCATCTGAGATATATTTTCCTATAATAAAGCTCAATAAACCTGGCTGGTGGAAAGCCCTCTGCAGCGTGATTCATTGCAGCAGCAAGGGTACTCGTAGAGGTCTGAAGAGGAGCTGGTGGTGGGTGGGCAGCCGGGAACGGGAGCGGCTTTCAAGTGGCAGTGCTGAGAGCTGTAGAGTGCACATGACTGACCCTCCCAAAAATTAGAAGTTGCATGGGTTGGCTAATGCACATGTAGTTGGGTCCAGTACCTTGTAAAACTGCAGCTTCCAGTCCGTACTGCTTCAAAGTGCAGCAGCATCTCCTATGGATAGTGCCTCAAAGCCCAGGGGTGGTGGAGATGTGGTGGAGACCAAGAATCAGCATGGTGACAAGTATTAGCCTTCGAGTTTGCAGTAATAAATATCCTTATATTCATGTGCTGCTTTGCCATATCTCTGGTGGAACAATAAAGCATATCAAAAGAGATTCCTCAGGACAGAATGGTTAATTACAGGTGTTAGTCTGATATAGCCAGTATAATTAAGAAAAAAGATCTGTCATTTCATAGTCTGTGCAGAATAAATTCTAGGTATCTCTGCATAATCTTTCAAAGTGCCTTTATCTCCAGAGCCAGTGAGGGTCCACAGAATTCCCTGAACCCAATTATGTACTTTCTGATTATCATATTTTTATTTCTTGAGACACAGGGCTAATAGGAAAGATCAAAAAATGTTTGAACCAGAGTAATTTCAAATGTCAAGAACTAGTTATTCTTACAACGAGCTCCCAGGTCTTGACAATGTAAGCTGTTCTCTGTTCGGTTTGATTCCTCTTGGGGAGTAGAAACGAGGGACTAGGGGATTAAAAGTGACTTTGTAGAGTAAAATCAACATATGCTTTGGAGACCTGCATTTGACGCTGGCTTTGAGTTCTTCCTTCCTTTCTCTTTCCTGTCTTCTTTCTCTTTCCTTCTCTCTCTTTCTTGTTGTCTCTTTTTCTTTTCTTCTTTCTCTCTCTCTTTCCTCCTCTCTTTTTCTCTCTCTGTTTTTTCTTTTGCTTTTTCTCTTCTTTTCTCTTTTTATTGCTTTTCCTTTTCTTCCTTCATTTTTTTCTGAAAGAGACTGCAGAGGAATTTCCCCCAGTCACCACCAGTGAGTTTATATTCTGTTCTTCATATTGGAAGAGTTTTATTTCCTCTGCAACAAGAAATAAAACATAATTGTCTGTTTTTGAAATGTTTGTTTGAAAAAGGATTCAGAGGGTAGCTGATTCTGTTCTCTTCACATTTCTTCCAGTTCAAGCAGCAGCACATGTATGGCTACTCAGGAAAAAAGGACATGATTACCCACAGATGCTGTTCTGCATTTATGATCGCCTGGAGGGGGCAATACAGCCTGGAGTTCTCTGGCTTTTGTCTACAAGACATAAACGCCACTGTAGCGGTTGGTTTTTTCGAGATGCTGGGCAGCCATAAATACAGATGAAGTCAAGGGAGCCATATGTATCTGTGGTACTTTTTCAGATATGAGAGGTGGTTCAGTTCCTCATTCTCCAGTGAAGAACTGGGAAGGTGCTCAGTGCCTGCCAATCAGGGGCCAAGCATTGCAGGTGTCAGCAAGTAGAAGGAGCTAATTAAAAGTAAAAATTATGTAATGAGAATGGTAGCCTTGCTCCCATTAGGATTTGAGTGGAGAAAGAGAGAATAATTTTGTTTGGATCTTATCCCTAGGCTGACAATTGCACTTGCCACTTACTTGCGTCTTAGAAAAACTCAAAAATTCTGAAAAGTAAATAAAGAAAAAAAAGATGGAAAAATACTGCAAGTAATCATGCAAAGTAGAATTATGAGGGTAGTTTCAAGAGAACAAAACAAAACTGTTTTCGCTGATATCAATTGAATTTTTTTTGTTTTTGTTTTTAGTTCTAATTAACAGTGCCAAGCAGAAATAATAGATTAGACACTATTGAAGCTATTTTAAAGTTTAACTTATTGAGACCTGTTCTTTTCAATGAAGCTGCTCAGAACAAACTTAGATTTTAGATTCTTCAGTATATTGCTCACGGTACGCTGAAAGGAAAGGAGCAGATGTGAATAATTCCTCTTGGGACCAAGATCATTGCAAGGAGTTCAGAGACTCATGTGCACACATTAAATTAGTCAAACATTTGAAGGCAGGGTGGAGTGGATCTGTTTCTTGATTATGTGAAAAATTTGCTGCTCCCCAAACTCTTCAGATTTGGGAGTCTTTTTCTCATTACAAGGATATGACAGGCTAAACGCTCATTCTGCTCTAATGTCATTTGAAAATGGATATGGTTTTAACAATCCTGGGCATTTAGGTTAAGCTTTCAGCAAGAAAGATAACTACTGCATCAGAGTGAGTAGGGATTTTGGACCACGCATCCTGGCAGGGTGGCTTCCCAAATAAAATTTTTGATGACAGCTGACTATGCTCTTTCTGTGAAGTAGTTAGTGGGAGAGGGAGAAATGGAAGGATTGGAAAAAAAAGTATATATTCTTTGAGGGCTATTTTAATTCACCGAGACCTAGGTTTAATAGGAAGGATCTGGGAAAGGAGAAGTTAGAAGAGAAGAGGAGGAAAGCAGGTAGAGAGAAATATAGAATGATAGAATCATTAAGGTTGGAAAAGACCTCTGAAGTAATCTAATTCAACTGTCAAACAATCACACCATTTCCCAGTAAACCGTGTCCCTCAGTGCCACATCTACACTTTTTTTGAAAATGTCCAAGGATGATGACTACACCACTTCCCGGGGCAGCTTGCTCCAGTGCCTTTTTCAGTGAAGAAAGTTGTCCTAATATTCAACATGAACCTCCCCTGGCACAAGTTAAGGCCATTATTTCTCAAACTATTGCTAGTTAACTGGGAGAAGAAATTGTTCCCCACTTCGCCACAACCTCCTTTCAAATAGTTGTAGAGAGCAGTAAGATCTCCCCTGAGCCTCATATTCTCCAGAATAAGCAATCTCAGTTCCCTCATCTGCTCCTCACAAGACTTGTGTTCCAGACCCTTCACAGAATCATTACCCTTCTTTGGGCATGCTCCAGGGCCTCAGTGTCTTTCCTGTAGTGAGGAACGCAGTACATGAAGCATGGCCTTAGCAGAGCTGAATGCTGGGAGATGATCACCTCCCTTGTCCTGCTGAGTACACTATTTCTGATACAAGCCAGAGTTCCATTGGCCTTTCTGGCCACCTGGGCACACTACAGACCCGTGAGGAACATCGCTAGTAACTGATTACTAAGTGGATTTAACTCCACTCACCACTACTCTTTGGGTCCAGCCATCAAGTCAGTTTTTCACTCAGTGAAGAGTATACCTGTCTAAATAATGAGCTGCCAGGGCCACGTGCCAAGACATATCAGGGAAAAGAAGAAAATAAGTGGATGGCAACTAGAACTGATTTTAAGCAGAAAGCAAGCATAGTAAGTTTTGAAAAATAGGATACAAGGAAACCATATATAAGCAGTGTAGTAATTCATTTTTTAGATGCTTTTATGTACACCTGTTTTATATATATGTCTCTTAATGCCCATAAAAGAAAATTTATCTACAAAATGCTAATATATACCTTTAAGAAATGACAGTAAACTAAATACTAACCCTCATCTGTACTTCTACTACAAGAAAAACAAGTCTTTGTTTCTTTTAGCAATTATGATGGACAAATAAAAGGGGATCCATGTAGCAAACCAGTAAGTATTATAGGCATTTCATGCACTTCTGCCCAGGAAAAGTTGCAGACCAGCCCTGCAGTTTGAATGCCATTCCCAGCTGCAGTTTGTAATGTGCGCTTGCTTACCGGATATCCATAATTTGTTAGGAAACAAGCTGGTTTGTGTGAGCCAAACTCAATCCATGTTGTGAATGAGTAAGGCACAGTATGTGGGAGTGAAAGGAAGACTCAAATACTAATGTAGACTTTTTTTTTTTTTTTTTTCAAGTTACACAAGCAGTATTTTTTCCATGACACAGCTTGCACAGCTGTCAGCAAACCCCAGTCATGACATTTTTGTAGAAAGTTACTTTATGTACAAACAGGTCACATTTTGAAACTTATTCAAGATCTACATTACACTTGTGTAGCAAACTAAGACTCCAGAAGGTTCATGCATTATTAAAGAGATACTGGAATTGCTCTAGAATCAGCTTTCATCTAAATAAAGGTGACGATGTTTATCTGTACCCTTTGTATTCATTCTTGTCTTGAGTGCATGGTGCTTCCTGTTACCATGTATGTAATTGATTTGCTGACTAATCTTTTTATGTGATCAGAATTGATTGTTACTCCCAGTCTATAACCTTTAGACAGTGATACTGAGGTTAAATAAAACACAGATGCAAAAATATAACAAGTTCCAATTCTGGTATTTCCTTTCCAGTTAATGCTTTAAGTAAATCTCTTATTTGACAACTAGAAGCAGTATTTTTAGAGAAAAGTGTAAATAGAAGATGAATATACAATCTTTAGTTGCTTAATATAAATTACTCAAGAAGAAACAGCAAGTTGCCTTGGGGAAATCAACAGCTTCTTCAATTGGATTGCTTCTGTCACTGCATGGACACAGTCTTGTTTGATGTCCTCCTACCATTTGTCTTGTATGGAGTCTTTTATCTAAATCCAAAGCAATGCAGTCATCACTGCTGCAATTCAATAATGGCTCCACGGGAGCTGTCATCCACAGTTTGCTATTCATCTTGTAAAGCCTTTGAGTTTTCAAAGTACCCACTAAGGTTGGTATTTCAATGATGTGGACAGACCACTTAAGATTCTTTTGTATTTTCAAAACAGGCCTAAATTGAGGATGAACTGATATTGAAATACCCTACTTATTGTACCTGGATGAAAAAGAGACCATGGAAGTGTCAGAAGGTAATTAGATGATCAGCCCCACCTCCCAGCTGATAATGCACCACTTTGTGGGCTTGAATCACATTTTGACTTGATACTGGCATTGCCTGTAGGGAATGAACTACTGAAACAAAGGGAAAAAAGAAAAAGGGTGGAAAAAATGGCATTAGCCACTAGTAGCCTCAGGAAGTGAAAAAAAAAAATTATGTGCTAACAATGTGAAGTCTAAAGCACAGAGAGAAGTTATTTCTACCCAAGTGGAAGAAGGCATTTATTCCACTTGATATAGATTTAGAAAGCAGGGGTCATTTTGGACTTCTAGGTTAGTGGCAATCCTGAAGGAACTCACATTTATCATGAGTCAAGAGCCTGGCTATAAGGCAACTGTTTAACAAAGAGCTGAGATTTAAAACTAACTGTTGAGATTCTCTTTTCTCTCCTTTCTCTCCTCTTTCCCTTCCTTGCTTTTTATTTTATTTTTCTTCTTTTTGCCTTTTACCTGGTCCAATCTGAACAATATATTTTCAAGTATTTTAATTGTTTTCTTTGCTGTTGTCATTT